AATGCTGTACTTGAATAATGTAACAGTAAGGCTTTTGCAGAAAGCACAAGTACCAGCTTTAATGTGTGTCTATAAAGATAAGAAAAATATATTTCCTAAGTCCAGCAGATTTCAAATAATAAATTTTCAAGTTACAGGAATGCTGGCCAAAGGGAATTTAAAGGGGAGGTGAGAAGGAGAGGAGCGGGGGTGGACATTTCTTCCAAAATGTTAATGAGCTACTGCCTCATAAAGTGATAATAACCAACAAATCTGAGATACGCACAAACATTATGAATATTCAGGAAGTTTAAGATGCTGATTCAACATTTGCTACGAGTGTACAACTTTTGCACTGCTCACATAAGCTATTATTTGTCTTTTCATCATAAGTACACTTGACTGCAGTGTCGGTGTGTTGTTGCAGCATATGCATTGAATTGCAAGTATTGTAATTCATCCAGATGGCAGGAAGCTTTGGAATTGTTACTTCTATGGTACAGATGTTTAACAGCGCAGCCATATGGCTCCAACAAGGCAGCCTTTTCAGAGATCACAAAAACTACACTAGACACGTAACCTTGTAAATATGATTTGAGTCCTGAGTGAATGTGAATGTACAGATTGCTATGATATAAAGCATACACTGCACCTTGCAGACAGAAATTATGAAATGTTATTTCGAAGGAATCAAGTCTGATATTTGCATAATTTCACTAATCAGATATTAAAACAACACTCTTCATTTGTTTTTGATACTTATGAAAAGTGTCAGACACAAGTTAACTGGAAAGATGGCCAAACAACCACATTCAAACCTAACAACGTCCTTAAACCTCTGGTCTGGGTGAACAACCACAGTAGGTAAGAAATCAAGATTCAACCACTGAGACCAAGAATTTCTCTACACAAAGATTTGTCAAAGTCAAAGAGCCCTTAATGATGGTTGTGGCAATTGTAACGTGGAAACCTGAGTGTTGAGAAACAATCTGAAATCAATAAGACCTTGGTCAAGAAAGGAAAGAACCATGAAATGGTCAATTTATAACTCTACTGAATACTGTCAGCTTTGAGTGACAGATAAATGACAGCAAATAAGATTGTTAAATCACTAATCTTGTCTTTATTAAATCCTGTCACATTGTGTAGATTTATATACTATGAGGAAAGAGTAAGGCCTGAGAATGACAAATAAAACTCTTACAGATGAAAATGTATCAATCTGTAAAGAAAAGGTAAATTCTCAACTTTCAACTTGGTAGTTGCTTTTTTCCTTTCCTGTCAAAAAAATCAGAGAAAAGCAGATGCTTTTTTTCCTTTTTCCTGATTCTCAGGTCTCTGACCTTTTGTTACCTAGCATTAACTTCTCTTTTATATAATCTGCAGAGCAAGAAGAAGATTAAACTGGATAGACTGAAAAAAGCACTGGTCTCCCAGACAAAAAGATATCCATTTAGTACAGAGGGGATCTTTCCACATGACATATTCTTAAAGGGAAGTAGTCGGTTATGATCTACTCAGAGAGCAAAATCATGAAAGAGCCATGTGATATTCCTGCAGTGCTTTCTTGTGGCTTTTGTTTTCATTCTTTGAGCAGGAAAGTATTTAGGGATGTTATATCACAGATACTAATTGAGACAACATAATTTTAAAATACCTGTGCAAAAACCTTGAAGGGTAGTTGAACTTTGAGGTTGTTTTAAGAAAGATTTTCTGCAGTTTATGCATTTGCTCTGCCAAAAGCTTACCTTAGCAAACAAAGTATAGTAAATCAGGGTTACTCTGATTTACTGCCCAGTGTGTGCTGTTCGTTTTCAGGGACAGTTCAGTGAGAAGCTGTGTCACGTACAAGCACATTCACAGATATGGAATTGTTCTGCAAAACTATCAGAAAGGTAGGAAGCATTCCTAAGATATCGATGGAAAAATGCAGATGGGTACTTTTAGTATTCTTCAGGTGATATTTTTTGAATACCATTACAATACAAAAATATTCCAAGCCTTTCTTAGGCACAAAGAAGACAATTTCATACAGCAAATTTTTTTAGACTGAGTAGTTCAGGCTAGATGTATAGCACATCAGTCAAAAATTTTAATGATTTCATCTTTTGCCCAAATTTCACATTTTCGGAAGTAGTAGCATATGAAGATACAAAAAAAAGGGAAAGCCACCAAGCAAAGAAAGGTAAAGCAAGGACTAAGGAGGACAGAATCTGTTAATCATAGAATCACAGAATGGCCTGGGTTGGAAGAAGCCTTAGGGATCAGCTGGTCCAGCCCTCATGCCAAGGGTAGGCACACCTCTCGCTACATCAGGCTGCCCAAGGCAACATTCAGCATGGTCCTGAACACTTCCAGGGATGAAGCATTCACAACTTCCCTGGGCAGCTTCCACCCCTGCCTCACTACTTCTCAGAGTGAATAATTTCTTCTTTGTATCTGATATTAGACCTAATCCGTTAAGAAAGTCCCAACAGGAGGACACAGAAAAAAAAACCACCGTAGCACTGACATTCCTTTAAAAAATAGTAAGTGAGAAAGGAAAAGATCAAAACTGTAGCTGCAAGCCTGCTTTAAAATCCAAGGAGGAGTCATTAATAGAGATTTAAACCCAGCCTTCAATAGTCTAAACATGTCATTGTTAATTACAAAGCTATTTAACTTCTGCAAGAAATAAGGGCTGATATTAATGAAAGAAGAACCAATTAGCCTTTAATCTACACACTGTTTTTTAATCAAAACTTTCTTTTGATCATCAGACTCACTGCGGGATGTACTCTCTTCCTCATGTTGTAGTGGCTTCCATGATTGCTAATGGAATAGATTTTAAAGGGCTGACTGAGTAAGGAGAACTTTCTCTGCAGGGCTGAAGGTTCCTTTCACTTGTGTCAGTGGGCCTTACTGGAAGTACTCTCATCTCCAAGCCATGTTGCCCCATAACTGGACAGCCAACTGGGAAGATTCTGGTAATGTCTCCTGACCTCCCTCCTGCACAGCTGCCATCAAAAGAGTGACCATGTCTAGAGGAATGTAGGAGAAGGGTACTAGATTACCTTATCAAGAAAGCACAAAAAAATACCAGTTTAAAGAAAGAAAAGGGAAGGGGAAATTAAGGAAAGAGGCAAAAGCAGAGAGGTGCCACAAGGAATGAAAATGAAATTAACTGCTGACTGCAAAGGATGATGAATGGGAGAATTTCCTTGTTGGGGCAGGAACACATCATGAAAAAAAATTCAAATCTAGTGGGACAAACATATGATGTGCTTGAAACAAAGGGACGAGGTGGGAAAAGGAAAGATCACTTTAGCTAAACACTATTGTGCCTTCAAACTCCTGGCTGTAGGGCCAGAGAGTCTTGAGGTTTTTTTTCCTGTTACTCTGGCTTCTTGTAGTATTAAAACAACAAGGCCAAGTATCTACTAGTAATCATGATGGAGAATTTCTTTCATTTCCTTCTCAGCTGCACACGCTGATCAGATCTTCCAGGAAGGAGAATAAATAGAGAATGTCCCTGACACGAATTCTGTCTATATAAACATGAAGATAATGAAATTTAAGAATCTGACTCCTGCACATGTGATAACAGAGAGAATGTAGGTGCCATCTGCACTCAAACACAAAATTCCTCCTCTGATCAGAAAGCTACTCTCTGTCCTGCATTAGCAAACCTTTGGTGTACACTATATGCCAGGCAAAAGCAATAACAGAACTCTTTCAGTACCATTCCTGAGGAAAAAGAACATTTTAAAATAATTTTTAATATCCTGTGAGCCTTCTCAGAATGTCTGCAGAGTTGTACCCTTGTTGCAGACAGCATGGCAATTAAAAAAAAATAAATCAATAGATTGCAGAGAGAAAAGTAAAAATAAATATGATCTGTGCCAGATAGGATTTTGAGACTCAAGGTTAAAGTTGGTAATAATAGTATGTGCAATAGCTGCTGAAATGATACAGACACTTGGGAAATTTAAAGGTAAGTGCATATTTAGCAAAGGGGGGATTTTAGCAAAGGCCTTGGGCTCCTTTAAGTGTTTTATAGGAGTTGAGTCACAGTGTTCTGCATTTCGAAAGATCAAATTATTCCTCTGTCTGCAAAATAACAGTAATTCCAATGCCTTATGAATTACCAAAGACTGGTAATTTTCTGCGATTCAAAGCCCCTTTTCATTAATTGATTGCCATAATGGTAATTTAAAATGACATTAGGGCCCGTTCATGTTTTTGAGGTGCTTAAATACTACAAGTACAGTATAGGTATCTGCTGTAGTTTCCATGGAAATAAATAGGAGGCATTACTTTTGTGGCGATCTGCTTAAATCTGTCTATAGAACTTGCATTCTGATACGTAACAAAAACTTGCATTTTTCTTGTATCATAATCCCATTCTAAGAAGATGGAAACAAGAGATCCCCTCCAAATACACCCTTAATGGACACAACATTTTTAATTAACAAAGATCCATTTCCCTTTTGTCACTCTCATACTGACCTAACAGGTTTTTATTTACTTATGCAGTGTAATCAGAACAATGCTTTTCTGATTTTTGTGAAGTTTTCTACAGAGTAGAATCATTCTCAGGAACCATAAGAAGTACCATGAGTTTTAACTGCTCTTAGCTAAAGTAAGAACTTTGAAAGTTAAGAAGTGCTAACTTTATGTCTCTTAAACTATGCAACAGTTCATTCCTGAGAGTGTTCTCAGTTCCGCTAATCCTTTAACATTAGTGCACACTTAGATAAATTACTCCCCATAGTAAGGTCTGAATCAGGAAAGCACTCAGGAACTTGATTAACTCTATCCCCAGTGATTTCAGCCAAAAACTTTACTAAGGTGCTTGAAATGCACACAGTGGAAATGTTCTCTACCTGCAGTTCTGACTGAAATCAGTGAGACCTGAAAGTTCTGAGCAGCTCTGAAAATCAGTCCCCAATATAACTACTGCAATACACCTTTAAATTGTCTACGTTCCCTCCAGAACACTCCTTCTAATTGACACGTCTGGATCAAATCTATGTACATACGTATGCAGTAGTCTCCACTTTCATAATATCCGGGACAGCACTGAGATCTGCGCCGGTACATCGTTCTTAGTCCTCTTCGATACGCCGTTTTATAACTTATTCTAAATTGCAAGACAGAAAGCCATTTGACAACATTGAAAATCAATGCTCACTGTTGGAATTATATTTGTGTTAAATTATACTAAGGATAGCATTCAATAATTATTTTAAAATGCATGAGAGCTTTCAATATTAAAAGCCACAATAAAAAAAAGGATCAATACTTGTTTTGAAACTTGAAATATAAGCTGTATTATAAACACAGTACTCATGACAGTCAATCGCTGCAGCCTTTCCTACGACTGCTATCTTAAAACACTGTGCCTGTGCCAAATTATGGGCAAGGAGTTTTTTTAACAATAAACAATTCATTTCTGTGTATGAGCAAGGACAGCTATCATCACAGAATCAGAGAACTGCCCAGGTTGGAGTAAACAGAATTTTCTATGGAGACCACCATGTCAGCATGCTACACAAGAAATAACCACAAGAAAAACTGCTCTTGATTGTACAAAACATGAATTTAACCCCAAAATGTTTTTTTTTTTTTTTTTTTACTTTCTAACCCTTCCAAGACCTAAGCGCCCTGAAAAAGGACATTGTAATCCCAATTCAGTATTTAAAGCATGTTTTCTCTACCAGAATCTGCAATGCACAGATACTGAAAGGAGTGAAGATTTTCTAGAGCTACTCATAGCATAGCATTAGCAATGAAGTCTGAGAACAACACATACTATTATTGTGCTCATGGACAACACTGTGTGATCAGACAGTCATACACCACATCTTCAAAATGCAGAGGTGCCATGATGAGCCAAAATCACATCAAGCAGTGTAAAAGAATCTGTCTAATTCTTCAAGATTTAGGAGCTGTGCTTATTTCCTACCATATACCTAAACATGCAATGATCACTTGGAAAGGACAGTCATCGTTTGGGTTTTTCCAATCATATGGTGGGGTGAATGACCCCAAAAAAGACCACTGACCTCCATTTCATACAAAAATCTCCCTACCACAAACAATGTTGTGGAATGCCAAAAAGCCTGGTTAATGCACCAAAATACATCTTTCAGTACACATCTGTATTAGAATACCATAACAGTTTGAGAAAATAGGAAGCTATATGAAAAGATGAAAAGCCAAAATTAAAATATCTGGGGATCAGCTCTTACCTGTGTCTAGTGCACTTGAACCAGTTCAGTATGTCAGTACATCTTGTATAATAGATCTGATCAAAAGGATGAGCATAGGATTCCTGTACTGTCACAGCATAGCTAGAAGCAAAGAAAGAAAGTGAAAGACTGTTCATTGCAACATGAAAAGCTTCAGTTCCCTGAATATGCTACTCATCTAATTCCAGTATGAGAAATAATTAAATCAATGGTCTTAGAAATTTCAGGCCTTATCCAGAACTGGAAAAGGGTTTCCTTAAACCACAGTTCTTACTTAAAGTTTTGGAAATGCTTCTAACTTGGGCTCTGTAACTGAACTAGGCATAGAGATTTCTGGCTGAGTAATAAACCGTTCCCTTCTGGAAAAGAAACAAATGTTATTAAAGTTCACATTTGTTTTAAAAGATGAAAAGGGCATTTGGTTAACTAGATAGCACATATTTTAAAAGAGAAAAGCATCGTGCTTTTAAAATGTCTCAGTTGCATACCAGTCTAAGACTGTTAATTTTTGCTTGTATTAAACAATGATAATAAGAGCTCATATTAACAAAACACTGCTGTGTTTTACCAGCATGATGGGACCCTTACACTTCATTTTTTTTTATGAAGGAGACTCATTACTTCAGATGCCGGTTGCACCAGTCAAATTGGATGATTTGTAAGAGGCTCAAGAGCCTTTGAAATGCATAAATTTAATCCTTTTAATCTGTAACAGAAGTTCAGAACTAACTGAAGACTGTGTGATCATGAGTTAACTGGTATCTAGATTTGGAACTCTTTGAGATATGTGATTATGCATGATTGTACAAATGAATAGACATTAGCAAAAACTGAGCAAAGTGATAAAGGATCCCAGAGCTCCAACAATACTAAGAATTCAGCAATCTCCTTCCCCAAACATAGCAGATTTATGCACCAGGTACATTAATTACTATGATTACATTTAAAGTTTCTGGGACTGACACATGACTTGGGAACGCAGATCTAATCAACATGCTCACCTCAGTCATTTTAGAATACTGTACTGCTCTACAGTAAATGTGTACACTGCTTAAGAGACTCAGAATCTCAGGTTCCTATCTGAAAACAAGCTCTGCTGTATCAGATCTTTAGAAAATCACACTAAAATCTTTCTAGGCAGGGTCGAGACCCAAGAATCAGACCCTCCAAGTCATTCATTGTATCGATTGTCTTAATCATCCAAGCAATTTCCTTCCCATCAATAGGACTGCTGATGTGATTAAGCCCTGTGAGACTGCACCCTAAAGGGAACACCAGAATATTTGCTTGGAGGGTCTCACTGTCTTGAAATCAACGAGTGGGCTATTATTGCCCTCCTTGTCATGCCCTTTCCAGACAAGACGTTGCTTCTGTCCTTTGTCACAATTTGTTGGTTTTGACACTGGGGCTTTTTACAAATACTAATGCAAAAATGTAAAATATTTATATTGTTTGTTATTAATGTAAGACATTCCTGATCATTATTTTATGATCCTTTCTTTGTTATCCCACTATTGCTCTAACAATCTTTTCCCTTTGATTTATTAACATCTAAGTAACAAAGTCATCTTGGTCAGTACAACCAATCAATTTTGGTATTTAATTTTTGTTTCTCCTTGATTGGGTCTCCAGGTTGCTGACTTTCTTCAGACAAAATCAATATTTTATTCCTGTGCTCTGAATGCACTTCACCTCACAATACAGACTGCAAAACCCTATTCCTCAACATGCACAGTCTTTGCTTTGCAGCTCCATTACCTACAAACAGTTAATTCTCTAGTTAAGGCTTCTAAAATCAAAACATAGAACCATTAAAGTATGCTTCCATTTTTGCTCGTTAAGAGGTTTATTTTGCCAAAATGTACAGTAATTCACATCCACATGGAACTAAACCACAGAACAGAACAGAAAATAAAGCAAATTGAACTTGAGAGCACAGCGACTTCAGCCTCTTCAAACAGACCCTGCATGAACATGAACCCTATCAAAGCTGGAGGGTTTCTGAATACTTGTAAAAACTGTCCTGCACAGATCCACTTTTAGGACAAGGACACTAACAATAGAGAGAACAGAATTACCAGAGCCTTTAATTCTTGGTGCTTTCATGAAGGTGCTCTTTGATACTGGCATGAATTCGGCAGATAAAGTCACAAAGTTCAGGACATACTGTATAAGCCTGCATGTTGCAACAGGAAGGGCTTAAAACTTAGACAAAATCTGTAAGTTTTGCTCAGCAGCAACCAGAAAGGAAGCAAGACAGAACAAGGTCACCATTTGACTAGGTCTCTTCGAGATACATGAAAAAAGGTTAGTGCAGTCCTGCAGCTGAAGCTATGGAGGAGGAAAGTAGAGCAGAGCAGATAGGCAATACAAGGATTTACCCTACGTATGGAACCTGTTCCTTCAGGATGGTGGAAATCCAGAAAGGAACTCAGAATTGGTGTTTCTGTCACACAGACCCACATTCTTCTATGAGGCAGAGAAGTATTTAGCTCTTATTTTGACTTCTAAATGTACATATTTGAAATGCCTAGTCAAACAAAACACTGCCATGTTTTAGATTACCTTTCCCAATGACTACAAACATTCGGATCATCTGGGTTTAGGGACAGAGCAGTTTTGAGCAGAAAAGACAGAAAAAGCCCTTTTAGAATCCACCAGAAAAGCAATTGAGCCATCATTGTTGTACCTAGATAAAGAAAAGAAAGTATGGTCATTAGAGAGAATATTCAGAAAACATCTTTCTAGGCTATTTTGTTCTTGCTTTTGTGCAAATCCAAATACTATGTAATTTGATGATTGAGCTACCCAAGATATTGATAGCACCAACAACTCTTCCAAAGAATATCTCTGATACTGGTATGTTTTATGGTTGTCTGTACTGACAAAATAAATACCTGTGGTATTAAAACAATCTGTTCTCCCATCAACCTATAGGCAAATGGAAGAATATCTGATTGCTCCTTTGATTTATTTAAATGTGGTTTAACATGAGCCAATGCAGTAAGCTAGATCTGAGACATACGCTTATTACATGACTGAAGGGAAAATCAATTCATTTTTCAACTTTTAGATGGAAGATTATTTAGAATGACGGAGGTCAAAGTACTGGGTCACATTATACAAAACATTAAACACGAAATAAAATTATTTGTGTTGAAGCTAGAAATAGATTGCATAAACTTCATTAAGTGTCATCTCTTCATCATGTTTCAGTTCAACTATTAAAAGTAGACAAATAAACCTTCTTATTCTCATCTGGCCCTTTGAATCCAAAGTGGTGGTATATGCCTAGAGTCCCCAAAGACATCAATCAAAAACAAAATAAATAGGAAATAAGAAGCTGCTTCTAAATGTACCTGCATTTAGCAGATTAACTGATGTTAATCTGTTAAATCAGTAACAAATATTTTTGACTATCCATTCCAGGCATTTACGTCATCACATAACCCACCATCCAAATCAAAAGTCCCATAAATTAGTGTTATTCCTGGTAACGAAACTGACCTAAAAATAGATTGAATCTTCATACGATCGTCTAAAAAACACACGGCTCATTGCTTCGTGGTCCAGAACAGCAAAAGGGATGTTAAGGGGTTTGCTCTACATGCACTGATATACAGCCCAGCATAAAGAAGTTGTCACAAAGCAGAATGAACAGCAGAGGAATTGCCAGGAAACCTTATATGAAATCACCTTCTGATTCAAAGCCTTCTTAGCTAGTTCAAGGACACCCACTGCCTTTAGTGGTTTGAAGTCAAGTTCCCAATGGGAGTAATAGCTCATCTTTTAAATTATTCCTAGAGCTGTGTTAAACCCAAATATAGTCTTAAGCCATGTAAGTCATATTAATGTTAATTAACATGATTTAATGTTAAAGTTCCTCATGAATTAAATTTAAGTCTGTGCATGACCATTCTCTACCTGCAAGCTGTTTCAAAGCGTCAAACATCAGTGCAAAAGCTTACTCTGGAAATTATGAGGGCTGACAAGAAAAGGACATGGTACATATTTTTGTCTATCAGAGAGACATTTGCTACACCTGTCCTAGACACCAATTCCCCATGGAGAAATGTCTTGAACAGCTTACCTGCAGGTGCCCATCGGACAAAAGACTAATAAGTCCTATGTTTAAAACCTGAGAGTTTAGAACTTGTTTGAAAGTATGATTGAACTTTCTTTTAAATTTACATGTACTAATATATGTGAACTATCAAGTATCAGGCTCAAGAAAATGACAGTGCTTTAACAAAATTATCTTAAAAAGACACCTCTGAACATATTACATTAGCTACCATTTGAATAATGCCAAATTACAGAGGACAAGCTCTACTGAGCATTGTATTTATAGGCTGCAATTTAGCCCCTTTGTTCATTCTTTACATACTTTCGATACATGGCAACACTGAACAAATAAGACTAATAGAAAGAATGCATCCAATCAGCAGCAGTGGTCAAAGGAAGAACCAGGCTAACCTGCTTAAGGAAATGCAGTCTTTAAAAGAGGTTTTTTCTCAATCAAAAGCAAGTTTTGTACTCATTTTGTTAACTGCTTAAGAACATCAAGGGTTCATCCCTAACCTAAATGCAGACAGCCAGCCTGCCTTCTACCAACAAAGAATGAGCTTTTTTTCATTTAACTAAAGCAGCCTTGTATTTGAATTTTATAATTGTCAGAGATCTTAATTTGTTCTTAAGTAAATAATGTATCAGTTCAGTTTTTCAATCAAACATCCTAAGAGCTATTACTAACACTCAGGAGTATGTGCTTAGAATGTATTTGAAAGACTTCCAAAATTGTTTTTCCAAACTTTTAATGATAATGCTATTTTATTATCTGTTTGTAGATTAACTGCTTTATGCAATTTATTTCCTAACCCTGTAAGTCAGATCATATATCAGAAACATCCAGCTCTCCAAATACAGCAGAACCTCATTTATCTCAAGTGTCTCTTTTTCTAACGCAAATGAAATATTTCACTTTGATCACTTTTAATAGAAAAGACCTTATACCAAAATGGAATGGTTGCTACTACAAGTTTCCGAATAACACTCTAAAAAACACACATTTTAAAAACTAACATCAAAAAAGAATCCAGTAATGACATGTAATCTGATTTTGTTTCAGCTTTTATTGCTCGGTGTAATATACACTACATTCCTGCACTGCATTTAACGATTGGAGTGTATTCCCTAAGGAGGCAGCATCAGCATTCCAGAGGGACAATGTCTGTAACTTCATTAAAGTTATAGCCAAATTAGATGAACATTTCCAGACTCTGCTACTGCCACTCTCTTGAGGACAGGCAGCCTCCTGAGTTGAACAAGAAAATAAATGACACGTAGGTCGGCTGTGCAATCTTTAAACAGATTCTAACTTTTTGTCTGTCCAGTTCTGCTTATTATTTTCAGCAGTGAAATAAGTCAATGAGGTACAATTTGGCAAGAAAAGATGTCTTTATATCCAAAATATAATCTGGTCATTTTTCATGAGTGTCTCAGTCTCTGTTAATCATATCTGATTAGATTAGGTATCTGTTACTCATTAAACCATTTTCACAGGCTTTGCTTCTTTTTGAATGAATTTCAGTACTTCAGATACAATATTGATACAACTCACTGGTTCCATCACCAAAGACAGGAAACTCATTCTCCCTTTTAACCCACTAATCCTAGTTATAGAATAAAACAGTAGGTTGCAAGCCTGTGAATTATTTGTCTCCAGATTTGTTTTACAGAGACCTGTGTTGGAGTTTGCAAAGAGACTAGAAGATGTGGATGTTCATTTAATTCGTACTAAGTACATGAGAATATGGACAAAAACAGGTTGTTATAGTCTTTCACTGCTTATGTAACACAAGCAGAGGATGATGGTACCTCACAGGATTGTGAGCTAAATGCAAAGAAAATAAGACCAGAAGGAATCTTTAGTGGGTGAAACAAACATCCTTTAAAACTCTATCTAGATGATGAGGTCCTGGCTGTGGTAATGCTCTTGTGAAAGGGGACTAATTTATTTTAAGTGGCTGAGTGGGAAAAAAAACAAATAAAAAGAATACAGATTAAATTTCTTCTTTGCTTTCCTGCCTGAGTTGAGAAAATTTAACTAAAAATGATAATTAGAGTATTTGCTGTTCAGGGGAAATAGTAATGAAACATTTCATTTTAGCATTTCTGTCATAAAATATTTCATAACATGACTAGAACTTGAAATTCAAACAGAATTTCCATTCCATGATTAAGTTCTAAACTTATCGCTTTTGTCTCAGTTTGGGACAAAAGAAGTTTTGAACAAGGTATAAAAAAGAATTTGGTGTCCAGCTGTAATTACAGAAAATATTTGCAGAAGTGTCTTTCAGTAGTAGACAATATTCCCAGATCTGTTTATATTTGTGAAGATCATAGTCCACGTGTCTAAATGTTTATACAGTCAGTCAACACAGTAATACATGCATTTAACAAAGAGCCATGTTAAGAAGTCTTACCTCAAAGTGCTAAAAATTCCTAATGGCTCCTATTTTTGCAGAGTAATAGTGCATGAAGACACATCATATTAACAGGACAGCAGAGGAAAGCTCTTCAGAAGTTGCTTGGCACTCTGAGGAATCAATAAGAATAAAAAAGAAAACAGAGTCAAAGAAAGTGTGTTTGGAGGATTGAAAACAAATTATGACAAAATGAGATAAAGCACTGTAAATATTTCCATACCATAAAATAACTGCGCTGCATCACACAGACACTATCCTGCTGTCAGCCAATAGCAACTGTCCAGGAAAGAGTAAAGAAAATGGAAAACAGATAGAAATACTTTCCTCCTACACTCTTCCGGTCTCCTGCAATTTGCAGCTTTATTGGCTTCCTCAGCCACAAGTGGTATCTTTATGTTTAATAACCTCTGAGATGGATTCTCATCCAATCATTTGTCTAATCATTTTGATCTGCTAAAATGAAAGTTTCAATATACTAATTTTACATGTCAGTGTCAACAACATCCTGTGACATCTCTGATTTTAGCTGTGTTCTATATGAAATATGTCCTTGCTTTTCTGCCTGCCACCTCAGTTTCATTTGACAGCTTCTTCTCTGTTAGAAATGATTGACTTCCAGACTTGGATTTCAATCATTTCCAATCATAATAACAAAATTTTATTTACATATAGATTTTTTCTTTTCCATATACCAAGAGAGAAGTTCCACTTCTTTGAAAAATTTTGATGATAAACCTTCCAAAGCCTTTTGGAAATCTCTTTGGATGATCCTGTTGCACATTTATTTCCTTCAAAGAGCTTTAACAGTTTAAGAAGCTATGTAAAGGCACGTTGACTGTCTTCATCAAGAGCTCCCCTAATTCAGTTCTCAATTATAATTTCTACCAAATAGAAAAACCTAGGTGTATCAAAATTAAAATGTATGCTAGTATTTTTATATGAGCTATTAAAGAAAATGCAAGAGAACAGTTAAGGCAGACAACAACAAGTTGGATTTCACTGAAGAAGCATTAAAGTGACTGAGAGTTTGCTGATTACACTATTTTTGTCTCTAACTAGTAGCAAGCTTCCAACAAGCTGCCCTCTGCGGCATTCCTCCTTCTCATCCCATCTGAAATTTTCATGATAGTTTAGGCAAGGGATCATTTAAACACACACTTCATTTGGCTCTACATCAAATTTTGTTAGAAACAAGCTGTTATGAAAGCTAAATGGGGCCATGAGTTTCAAAACTGATCAGGAATTTTTGGATGTCTCCACTTGTGATTAATAAGTTAAGATATCATGTAAGGATGAATAATATGAAGTGTTCAGCGTGTATGCTAGGAAACAGGCTGTTCCAACATGCAATCAAGAACTAAGACACTCAAACCCACTAATCACCTAAAAGTCATTGCCATGACCAACAGAAATATTGTTGAAAACAGACTGATGTCTTGTTTTGTTTTTAATTACAAATTAACGTTGTTTTAAGAAGATAAACACTTCCAGGAAGGATCAGGTTCTCACTATGAAAGCACCAGCAATGTGATTCTTCTCATCATCCAAGCACAGAAGGATTCAAGTGGTTGAGTTGGCAGAAACAACAGCCTATACACTGGGTTTGCAGGGTTCCCTTTAGTGACATCTTACACGATTAATGCAGGAAGACAGCAGATAAGAATCTGCCTGGGTTAACAACAGATGATGCTTCAGTTAGCAGGTCTACCTAGGGTAGGAACAAAAGATGCTACCATACACAAACAGCTTTGATACCATTTACAGACACAAGTCTCCTGTCACCTGGAAGTGACACTGGCATGGGGAGAAACACAACTGACAAGAACAGCACAGCTGCTGTCCTTCCAGAGGCTCCTTTCACAGCCTCCTGTGCTCAGCAATGGTACAAGCTAGAAACAGAGAAGATGTAAAAAAAAAAGAGAATCTTTCTTACCTTACACTTGAGATCATACAATGAATACAGGCTTGTCACATGTAGTGACAATAAATGTAAGTAGGAACCCTAACATTTCATCATAGAACTATTCTACCTTCTCTATGAAGGTTAACCTGCTGCTGAATGAAAATGGGATTGAACATTGAAAATGGGATTGAACACTGAAAACACAAATTGAACAACTAAATGGCATTTTCTTTAATTAGTATGAATAAATGCAAATTTAGAGGTTTCAGCTCTTTGTAGTAAAGTTACCACGGGAAAGTTAGAAAAGCTGTAACCAGAGTCCTGTTTGCTCAGCCTCATAACACCCACACTGCCACACTGTGCAGAGAAGGAGGGGCTGTTCAGTGCAAACAAGGGAACCACTTCAATTTCCAAAGATGGGCTTTTAAGGATTGGATAAACACACCAGGCTCCTTAATTGATAGAGTGCTCTGATGACTTTCCCTTCTATGCTTTGAATCACAGCATCTCAGTTTTCCAAAACTGGGTAGGGGGTTGATTTTATCAACAACTGAGTATAAAGGTTTCTTAAGTTGCTTTAAATTTCTGAACTTTAAGGTATATCAGCATGAGTTTTAACTGCTACAGTAAACAATACTACAGTTACATCTTACAAAAGTCTGAAAGTCTGCTTCGGTGCTAAGCTCCCATAAGCTGACCTCCAGCAGAGTCACTGGGAGCTTGGCTAGAGAGCAAAACAGGAATAGACAAGGAAGTGACTCTTCTTAATCTACCAAACTTTATTTTTGGAAGCTCAGGGCTGCTCCTTCAGTGCTCCCTGAGGAAAAGCGGGTCAAAGTACCAAAGCTGTGCCACCAGGCTAGCAGCCCAGGTTTAGTTTAGTTATGGCTGATGAAATATGTTTACCAAGGAAAGGCTGAAGCATGCATTTAGGATATGAAGTAGGCTAGAACGGAGTGGCTCAAATTTCACCCAAGTTCTGCATTCAGCACGCAGTGCTTTCAGCATCCAGTAGCCTCCAAGCCTTCAGAGGCGCTTATGCTCTGAACAAAATACTCAGAAACCTGAGGTGAAATGTAGGACGTATGAGTTCTCAACAAAGACAGAAGAGAACTGACCAACCTGCCAGGTGCTTGAAGAAAAAAGCATTCTACAAACTGAAAAATGATTACGTACTGAAGCGAGAGGTATGTACCTACACAGCTGACATTATCTGTCTGCTGGATGACATCAACAGCAACACACAAATACAGACATTCTATTCTATAGTACCTACACAAATACAATATACATGTGCACTTGTGCAAAGCCCAAGCACCAAAAGCTATTACTCATTAAAACACTAAATTTCTTTCTCTTACGTAATTGATAATCAATAATCCATCAGAAATACACCAAAAATATTATATTAGCAACACCTAAAAACACTGCTGAAATAGTGCATGCATCCAGATAATTGCTGGCTCCATTTCAGAAAGGTCAGCTGGGAAAAATATTGTCTGTGATTTTCTGCCCATAATTCTGTACTTGTACTCAACAACCAGTGTAAAATTGGAAGCTGGCCCTTTGAACATTTGCCCCTTTTAGTTGTTATGCCAGACTCAAGACCACTGAAATGTCAGCATCCCTTCTAGAGCTTAAGCCCTGTCCAAGCACTGCCAGTCAGACAGGACAGGGAGATGGCAGATACTCTACCAGCATTTTCTGCCAAAAGGAAACTGGCAGGCTTCAAAGGCAAATTTCAGGTATCCTGCAGGATCTCAATAGGAAAATTCCTCCCGCAAGCTAGGAAATTCTGGGGGCAGTCATCTCTGGGCCTCCTCAGTTAAAATATGGTAAACAATGGTAGGCAGAAAAAGCCACTTCACATCTTTGTCTTCTTAACCCACCTGCCCCGATCTCAGTGTGTGGCTGTTTCCTAAGGACAGGGGAATCCTCTCCATGCTGCAGCGTCCCCCATGCAGATACTCATCTTTTTGCACAGTGGAATTTTTAAAGCTGCTGACACTGTATGGGGAGTGACATTCTCTAGTGACTTAACAGTGTATTTATATTCACTATGACATGCATATTTCGGGTATTCCTTAACATACATTACTTCTGAAGAGAAAGAGGAAAGTAAGCTGACACATCTAACAGCTGCTCTCTGGAGAACTCAGGTTGGCTTGCTTACATTTAGCCACCCACCTCATCCCTGCTCAGCATGCCAAATACTGCAACATATGCTTCCTTAGACAATTAGAGCAACAAAGGCCTCGTGCCCCAAGAACACTCAGGATAAATGAAGCAAACTGTTACATGCATGCCCAGGTGAGGAATAATATTTTAATAGTATTTCACTAAAAAAACATTTCTTTCAACAGAATTTTCTTATAACATTTAAAGAAAGCACGTGAAGTTGGTAAGAGTAACAAAAAATGAAACATAAGGATGTTCAACGTATGCACAGTAAAATAAATTAAGTATGATTCTGGGAAAGTGCTGCGAAAGTCAAAATAAAAAGTGGTTTGAAAATGTACAATATCCTCTGTGGTTATATTTTAAAGAATTATTTCTATTTGTCAAGAGCAATTGGTCGCTTCTTTTTGTCTTCATTTATCTCTGAGGAAAATAAAATGAAACAAACAGTAAAAAAGTCCCAAGTACAGCGAACAGCTGAGCCAGGGATGAATTAAGTAACGCTGATTGATGGCTGGTGATCTACAGCACTACTATTACATCCCAATGCTGCATCTCGTATTTCATTTAAAGGCCCATCTCTTCTTTTCCAGAAACAGTGCAGTATTTATGAGAGAAGGTTGATTTGCAAGCCTTGGAGCTGCACTGAGAATCCAGATTCAGTTTTTCCAATCTGGCTTTAAAGTTGGTGAATACCTTGAACTTTGAAGGTAGCAATCCAAATAAAATGAAACCGAACACTGGAATAAAATGAACATTGAAACTAAACATGTATTTTCAAGAAATGCTGCAGGCAGGGCAAAGCTTTTTATCTTCAGTTTCTTCATAAGACAGTAAGGAAGTAATGCTTGTCTCCTCTTCATTTATACCTTTACTAACCCCGCTGGTCCAACAGCATACATCTTCATCTGCTCTCCTCTGGGTTTTCCCAGTACTGTATTCTCTGTGGCATTTTCTGTTACAAGGGCACTCAGATGTTCTCTTCCTTCAATTCAATTTTCCTCTGAGCCTCTTGAAATCTTAA